TGCAGATAAACTATTAGTGCTAAAACACCATCTGCCTGTTGCCTTAACCCCTGCTGTTGAGCAAATGGCAGCTCACACAGAAAGGAATTTTGAAAGAAGGTTTGGCTTTGCAACACTCTTTTATAACATCCGGAGAGGTGGTCTCACTGAGCACATGTAGCCCACCACCAGCTGTTCATGAACGATGACCCCCATCCTAGCTAACCATAAGCCAGGCTGTGTTGAACTGGGAACGATGTCATCAGCAGTAGCTGTTTAAAGGCTTCCTTTTGTGGTTAGCTGACTGGATAGCTCAGTGAGTTGGGTATCTAGCTGTGGAGCCAGAGGGTTAGGAGTTTGATTCCCCACTGTCTTTCCTGGGAGAAGAGCCCGTTTGTCTAGCCTCAGGCAAGCTGCACAGTCCTAGGATAGCCCCAGAGAAGTGGTAAACCAATTCTAGTACACTCTACTTAGAAAAACCTAAAAAGGTTACAATAGGTCAGATTTGACTTGACAGCACATGATTATTTGCAGTTTTTTGGGGGGGGGCATGCCACTTCACTGCAATGTGTGCAAGACATGTACCCTTGCAAGTGCAAAAGAGTTTCCTAGCACTGACTGACTCTTTAGACAGAGGAAATGTATACTTTCTGTTGGGGTCATCACTAGTATGCTTTTATTAAATGTGACATGAAAGTGGGACGTTGGCTGATCTTTAGTTGTTGTTTTATCTCTAAGTCGTGTCTGACTCTTCGTGACCCCATGGACCAGAGCATGCCAGGCCCTCCTGTCTTCCACTGCCTCCCGCAGTTGGTTCAAATTCATGTTGGTTGATCTTTAGTACCACGCTGCATAACAGAAAACTTTGTGGCAATGACTTGGGCAATAGAGAAAGCTGTGTGAAGCAGCCCCAAGGAGTTTTTTTTTTTTTTTTACAACCTGAACAAGTATCGTGGCTCTTTATGGGCTGGAACAACCATCAGCCAATCCAGCACTAACCAAACATTCCTTCCCATCTATGAAGTCAAAGAGATCTCACCTCTCTGCTGAGTTGTTTTCCCCTCTCTATTATCTGTTAGCAGTTAATAGTCTGTTGCTGAAAACAGTCATGTTAACCTGTTTGCTGTTTGATCTGTTCCATTGTAAGTAAAGGAACCTTTTATTGTTTCTCCTCCTAATGTCTCGGAGTGAGTTATTGGGACTGTAAGTGCCTCCCCCACAAAGGGGCTGGGATAATCTGGGGAACATGACACTATTCTGCTAAATGGATCCCCACAACTTCTGCTGCCCAGCTAGAGGAACGTAACCAAAAATTCAGAACTCCACAACAACGTGTGAATCAGTCTTTCTTGAGGAGCTACATTAAACTCCTTTATTCACATGCATACAAGTCATTATTGACTGAGATGCTGCATAGGAAGCCCAGCCACATAGATAACTCATCTCTCTATTTAGCAAAATTAGGAATCATGTGCCTGGTTCACTGCATGCCCTTTTTGACGCCTCTTCGACTTTCTATTGTACGCTCCCCACCTTCTCCTTGTATCTTCGTTTCAAATCACAGTCACCTCCTGCAAGAACTCCAGAAAAAAGCAAGATGCACAACACTGCAATAATACATAATGCATTAGGACATTATCAGATGATTAAAGCTATTAGCTGTTTGGCTTTAGGTAATCAACTTTGGAATATTTATGCACTTTCTGGTGGAACTGACAGGACCATAATGCACTGCCATCAGAGATAATGGTGTAACAAGGACTCCGAGAGTCAGGCGATAAATACAAGTAACACCCAATTCTCTCCTCCGTTCCCTGCGGAGAATTGTAATGCTATTAGAAGGATCTGCTTTCTGTAACTTCGTGATCAGGATCCTTTTAAAAGGTGAAATGAAACAGTAGGAAAGAACTTGAGGTCCCTTCGCTTCTGGGATTCCTCCGGAAGGCAAAGATGGGGCCAGGCTGGCTTCCAGTGGGAGGGAGTTCCAGAGTCTGGAAGCAGCAACAGAGAAAGCTTTCTTCTGTGTCCCCATCAGACGTTCCTGTGAAGGTGCATCTGACCAAGAGAAAAGCCTCTCCTGATGATTTTAACAGCTGAGCTGGCTCATAATGAGAGACACCGTCTTTGAGATAACTTGGACCCAGGCCGTTCAGGGCCTTATATGTTTTTAAACACAGAAACCTAGAAGGATGATTCTTGTTCCCCAGCCAGGTAGAAGCTTGTAGTTTCAAAGGAAAGTCAAACCCGGAAGGTTCATGCATTATGCTTTGTTTGAAGAACCACCCTGTTTCCCCAAAAATAAGACAGGGTCTTATATTAATTTTTGCCCCAAAAATGCATTAGGGCTTATTTTCAGGGGATGTTTTTTTTTTTTCATGTCCAACCATCTACATTCATTCCAATACAGTCATGTCATCATCTTCTGGTTGCTGCACAGTGGTGGAGGGTGGGGTTTCACTTAACTAGGGCTCATTTTTGGCATAGGTCTTATATGACGAGCATCCTGAAAAAATCCTACTAGGGCTTATTTTCAGGTTAGGTCTTATTTTCGGTGAAACAGGGCAGGGCGTGATATCCAGTTAACAGCTTCCTCAGCTGTAATTTTGAGAGCCACCACTCCAACGTAGCCTTACGTCTAAGACAAACGCCTGCCAAAATCCATCATCATGAACTTTTTAATAAACGTGCTGTCAAGTCGCCTCCAACCCGTGGCACCCCAATGAATGGGCAGTCTCCAAAATGTCCTGTTTCAACTGCCCTGCACACTCTTGCAAACTCAAGTCTGGGGCTTCCTTGAGGGAGTCCGTCCGTCTCATATTTAGTCTTCCTCTTTTCCTGCTGCCTTCCACTTTTCCCAGCATTATTGTCTTTTCCAGAGAATCCTGCCTTCTCATGATGGGCCCAAAATAGGAGCCATGACTTAACAGTGGTGGACTTCGCCGTTGGAATCTCCAAGGGTTTTGGTCTTAGGTGATTTCAACATCCATGGGGAGGCAGAGTTTTCCAGTCCAGCTCTTGAGTTCTTGGAAACCATAGCATCCTTGGGCATGTCCCAACATGTCAACGGCCCCACCCACATCGCCGGCCACCTGTTAGACCTAGTGTATTCCCCTGAGCAGAGTGAGCATGGTCTGATGGTGACTGATCTTGTTTCAGTCCCCTTGTCATGGTTGGATCACCGCCTAATTAAATGTAACCTCAGTAGCTCTCCCTCCCTACAGGGAGCAAGGACCTATTTTAATGGTCCACCCTCGAAGGCTACTGGATTCCATAGGATTCCAGGATTCTGTGAG